GTGGTGGTGGTGGTGTGGTGGTGGTAGAGTGGTGGTGGTAGAGTGGTGGTGGTAGAGTGGCGGTGGTGGTGGTAGCTAGAGTGGCGGTGGTGGTGGTAGAGTGGCGGTAGAGTGGTGGGGGCGGCGGTGCTACTGCTGCTACCAATGCTGTTGCTGCTCCTGCCCGTTTTCAGACACTGCAGCTGCTGCTTGCTGCTGCTGCCACTGCTGCCATTGCTGCCATTGCTACTCACTACAACTGCTCTCGCATCTATTCAACCAGGACAATTCTTGACCGCGACCATGGCCGATGTTATCAAGTACGTATGTCATGCGGTGTGAACCCCACATGGACGGAACGCCCTGCCTTGCACACGATGGGCTTCCCGGCCGTGGCCACGCCACGCACAGCGGGCAGCGTGAGGGCAGCGCTGCGTCGGAAGAGCGCCTCGGAGACTATGCTTACAAGCCTGCTCCCTCACTTCCACGCTTCCAAACCCGCCCCAAGGATTGCAAGAAAGCGGCCGCCATGGCTCCGTGGCTCCGGCCAAAACAAGCAACAACAGCTGGAGCCGAAGTCAGGAACGGTACCCACAGCTGCAGCTGAAGAGACGGGCTCAACGCAAAGCTCCCTGAAGAATGTTAGCAGTAGAGCTGCAAGAGCGCAGAAGTCAGGGAGTCGAAGTGTATGACATGGGCCTTACGACAGGTGCGGTTCGAGCTCAGAGCCGTTTGACCTTGGCCGGCCTCTTGAGAGCCGCTCCGGGGCGCTTCATGGAGACGGAGCTTGCCGAGCTCTTCGCGCCCCGAGCTCTTAAAACTAGGCCCAGGTGTTGCTTGAGCCAGGCCTCGAAGCGCAAGGAGACGGAGACTAGGTATTCGACGCCTTCCAGCTCTTCTAGCAAGAACCAGGGCAAGCCAGATCGCTGGCCCAGGTGCAGGCCATCCGAACCACCCACAATCCCCAAGCAGAGAGCAGCAATCGAGTCCACGTCTCCGCCGATGTAGAGCGAGGTCAGTAAGGCATCGCGTGGACCTCGATGAAACCGTAGGATGTAAAGCACGACCCCAGCTGTCCGCATAGCATCACTGCCCAGGCCATGCACTGCAGATGTCCCATCCTGCCCTCCCGGCACATGCTCGAGGTCTGGATGCGGCTGCTGGCCGCATAGCAGGGCATGCACATCCTCCGGCATGCGTCGCAGCCGCTGCCCAAAGGAGTGGTAATCGGGGAGTTCTCCGATCCTTTGAAGCAGCGACGCAGTCTCTGCATGGTTTAGGTCACTGGACTGCAGCCGTTCCAGAGCCACTTCCACAACTCGACTCTTCTTACCTCTCTCCACAATGAGCCAGCGGGCTGCCTGTGCGATGACATAGCTAGCAGCACGGGCCTTTGGATGCGGATGGGTGCTGTCGGCATTCGCAAGGCACAACTGCTGGCAGCGCTCCGGGTCCACGAAAGCCAGCGGCAGCGCACGCATCGGCGGCGCATTGCCAGGATCCACACGGCTCGCCTGCGATTCCCGCAGCTCCTCTAGGGTAGTTCTTCCACGGAAGAAATGCTTGACACTTCCATGGCCGCTGCGCTCTGCACCAGGCACTGCCGGGAGAGGCCGGCGCTTCGCAAGCTCCCATTCCACTCGCCAAGCTGTGAGCATGGCCTCCTCTGTGACATTCATTCCATGTTCCAGGAATGCTTTCATCAAGCCCACCGTCATCTCACAGTCATCTGAATACATTCCCCGGATGCTGTTGAACCTGTGCTCCTCTGGCTTCGCAGGGTTCTCCGGCCAGCTGGTGAGGCGCGTCACCTTCTGCCTTAACCAATATGCGTCCTGCATCTCCACCCCGAAGCCGAAAGCATCCCCGATGGCATCCCCGATCAGCAGCTGCGTAACCGGCCCTGCAGAGGCCAGCAACGCTCGTCGCGCCAGCTTGGCGGCATGGTCTGCTGCGAATTGGGGCACGGATGACGCATCTGTCTCCATGATGGCTCAAGACGCCAAGGAAAGCAGAAAGGAGCTCCAAGAGGGTGTTGAGATGTGTTGAGTTCAGCAGTGTTTCTCTGTCCGCAAATTGCGACCGCGACTAAGCAGGGCGGGGAGGGGGCTCATTACAATGAAGACTCCGGTAGCAGATGCGACGGACACGCTCCGAAACCGCAGACATGTGACAATGCGGCTGTCCATACATCAGCATCTGGGATCTGGAAATCTCATTTAAAGAACCCCCTTTGCTGAAGCAGTGGACTTGGGTAATGCCAGCACGCATATCTCCTTGCTCTACCTAAATGTCTGAAGGCCCCTGTGTAGGAATGGGCTCCAAACCCTAAACCCTAAACCCAGTCCATTGAGTCCGCGGGGACGTTAGTTCCCACCACCTGCACGCAAAAAGAAGCTGTGCTGAATCGAAGCAGGAAGGGTCTCGACACTCGCACAAAGCAGGCAAGGCTCCTCAGGGTTTAGGGTTTCGACTCGCACACTTGCACAAGGGTTTGGGATTTGGACTTCCGCGGTCGGCCAGGGTTTTGGGAGTATAAGGGTTCAGGGGTGGTTCTTGGTTTGAGGTTTGGCGTGTAGGACCTAGGGTTGTGAGAGTTTGAAGGTAGCATCGACAAGAAGGGCGTTCAGGGTTGCCGCAGAATGGCACAGGAAGGGGCTAGGACGTGAAGAAACAGAAAACAACACAGCTCACTTGGCCGTGCACACCCTGTACTTGCGAACCATGTCCATGTCAACGACCGTGTGCAGAGCTGATGCCCTCTACGGCTTACACATCTATTTAACAAAATTAAGCGAACGCCTATACCGATACCCTTTCAACGAGTCGCGAAAGCATAGCCTTATCCAGAACGATGCCCATGACGATTGTGGTTGCGCCCAAGTACTGCAGCATGTGGTACTGTTTGCGGAGCAGCATCACCTGGCAATACTCATTCGTATGGGCACAAAACGAACGTGGAATCGGCCACCCGCCCAAGGTAGGCAAAAGCTCTCGCGCAACGGAGACATGCCGGAGCACCGACAGCATCATTGTCACTGGAATGACTGCCTGCAAGCTGGTGGGTAGATGGACAACTCGCCTGAGAACACGCGCTTCCTTTCGGAATGTTGAGTTGCAGAGCCCTTTCCCATGCAGTGGCAGGGATGCGGACTTGGAGCAACACAACCAACAAAAGCAGAATCAAAACGTTGTGTCTCTCATCTCATCTCTGCTGCCATGGCAGCGCACCGACAAAAAGATTCTGACTCACTTAACCTGGTTCAGAATGTGACCCCAGCTGCCTGGCCCAAGAGGACCTGCAACGTGCCCGAAGTATGCACACCTCCGAGAACCTCGGATGGCTACATCCATGCGGTCTGTCCTAATAAATGATTACACATCACGTTGCAACACTTGAGTGTCCGAGGTTGGCACCATGAAGGTGCCACTGAGACCATCGAAAACACCCATCAGCGCGAATTTTCGCACCTTGTCGTTTTCTGGCATTGGTCAAATGCATCGCAACAGTGGCACACAATGTCCAAATGCTGCCATGTCGGATGCTCTCACTGTCATGCGGTGTCCGGGCTTCGCACCAGTTCGAAATCCACCTGACACAGCTTTTAGTTGATTGTGACAGTCTTCGAATCTGTAACGCACTTGCTGCAAGGAGAGCCTGCTGGGTAATGCCAGTGCCGACCAGCGTTGCAAAAAATGGCACGTAGATAAGCGTGGAAAGCTGCGTCAGATACCACCCTGGGCCAACCGCAAGCTTGCCGTAGGTCTTCACAAGAAAATGCCGTGGCGCATCGGTTCTGGACAGAAGCATTTGCAAAACCAAGGACTCAGGCCATAGTTGGGCATGGCCGACGTCATTCTTTTGAAAAAGACCTGAAGTGTTACATTGCTGGCAATGCAATTTGCGTGGTGCGTTGCTGGGTGCCCGGCTGTATTCCCAACAGAAGCCACCAACAAGCACACCTGGATGGATGTCGAGCAGTGACTCGGAAAGACGCTCACAAGTCACGCTGGCCGCTCGTCCCACCGTGTACAAGATCAGCCGCCATTTGCGCAGCCACCAATCCATGTAAGGATTGCGTTGCCGGCTTGTGGGCTCCTGCCAGAACCATCCCAGCAACCCGGCAAGCTCCGACACACCTCTTTTACGTGCTCAGACACAAACAGCCATCTCATGGCAGCTACTAGCCTCTTCAGGTGAAGGTTTGGTCCGCAACAGCGGGGAAGACAAACCATTCTCGCGGTCGCTGGGCATGATGCCTGGTCATGGAAAGAGTATGACTACCAAAAACCCATCAACTCTCATCAGTGCAATTGTGCTCCTGCTTTGCGGCCGCCGCAGAAATTGTGCGGCGGACGACGGCCGTAACCGCCGCACCCCACTCTGCACTAAGTGGGACGTCCCTCCACTTCGAATGAACAGGCAGCGGCAACCGGAGCTCACAACATGATGTGTCTGACATACACAGCTTGGTCTTCAACTGCACAAACCACAAATCACCCAGCTTCCAGCGCATACTGTCAGCCACGTGCCCTATGGCCCTACATTCCATACGTATCTCCGGGTCGAGGTCTGCCATTCCATGCCCTTGGTGGGGATGCTGTCACTGTTCAGCGGACAGCATGGCCCCAAGGACCAATGCAGATACACAGTTCTCCCCCCCCCCCATTGCTCCAACTCGTAACTGACCAGGCAAGCCCAGCAGGCTGCCGCTGTGCCCTCGTGGTAGAGTTTAGCTGCATTCCGAATGACCGATTAGCGATGAAAAGAACAGCAAATCTTCAGATACCTCCACATTGGACTGAGTCAGGTTGACATGACCAAAGCAAGGCAAGCGCAACTCACACTGGGCTGGAACATGCCTAGCCCTGCGTCATCCATGCTCGCTCCCTGGCAGCTGTCTTCATTTTATGTCCGTCTCGTCGTGGCATATTATGTACGAGGGTGACACTGAAACATGTTAGGAACACTGCAGTACGTCAGAGTCTCCTACGCACTTTTGGTAAGTGCCATCGCAGCATTTTTGCCAAGCCTTTCGTGTGTGGCTCTGACACGAGGCAACCATTGTGAAACCGGTGTTGGCATTGCCGCTCTGACGACTCTCGGTGCAGCGGCAGCCGTTCTTGCTTTTGCAGTTGCCTGCGAAAGGCATGTATGCAGACCAACAGCAGTTCAGTACCTTTGCCAACGCAAGCCCTACTACGCGTTGATTTGCGTGAGTCATGCCCACACCGTCCCAAAGTGGTCATGCGATTCTGAAACAGCTTCGGAAACCCATAGCGAAACTTCAGATGCATGGAGACCTATCGACATGTCCCCGCTGCGGTAACAGTTAAACTCCGAACTTCCGTGCATCTATCGTGCAATTGATATAGGTCTGTTGCTCCCAACCAACGGTGCAAACAGCCTTCCATATTTTGCTTTTTGCTTCACAACAGATCGGCAGGTCTTCTTGCCATACCAAATGTACAACGTAAATTAACTCCAAGCTTCGCGGATTCATGACGACTTCGCATATCGCAACTGTTGGCACCAACAGTCGCATGCTCGAAAATTGGTGAATGCTTCTCCCTACTAGTCAAGACCTCCAACATTCCAAGGCTTCGATCAAACTGCCCAAGAAGAAGCTCAATGAAGTGCCGCTTTCCAACATGCCCTAAGGAAATCGAATTCATCAAAACTCATAAGCTTGAACTCGTATCTTTTTCTCCTTTCTTTGGACAAATCACCGACTTTTTTTAAAGGTCCAACCTCCATCTCCGTAGCCGTATTTGCCCCCAACCTCGGACCACGGAATTTGTGCTGGGGCTGGCCTTCCACATCACCCTGAGCACGCCATGCAAGCCACTGCACTGTGAAGCTGGTCCCCGAGGTGCCTGTCTTCCCTGTGTGCCACACAGTTTCCAGTCCGACGGTGCTTGTGTGCAACTTTCGCAATTCTTGTAGCGGTAATAGTAACCTCAGTTCGTGGAATGCGGGTGCATCTAAGCTTTCGTTACTGTCGTGGAAGCGACGAATGCAGACAAAAGGCCATCGATCAAGTACCAACCGTTTTCCACCCACGACTTAGACTTTACCATGAATCCAGGAGGACAGATCCCCACGACGCTTGATGATTCCTCCATGGCTTTCTTCACATCGTCGCTGTCAACACGGACCTTGTATTCATGCCAGGCAATTTTTGCACATGCAAAACCTGCCATGAGACACTTTACAAATAGCTGCAAATGAGAGGCTCCACCCAGAATAGTCGGAGCCAGGAACCAAAAAGCTTTCGCGAGCATCACCATGAGCACACACGAACTTCGCAAACTGCTACTCGGCTAATCTGCTGCGCAGATCTGTCAGAGCTGCAAAGGCATCAACTCACGACGTCGACATCTCTCCCGCGAAACCATGCAAGTGTACCTACCTTCCAACAAGAAGCTTTTTTT